ATGCCCTCATGTACGAGGATGTATTTATTCATTCCAGACCGGGACATACCTTTGTCTTACATTAAATTAATCCAGGGTTTCTCAACCTTGGCACTAATGACATTCAGGACTACAGAATCCTTTATTGTGGGGGTCTGTGCTATGTATTGAAGGATATTTAGCCACATCCCTGGCCTCTGCCCACCAGATGATGTCATCTTGGACAAGGGTCATGGTAATGGAGGTGACGAGAAGTGAACAGACTAAAAATACATAATAATATTATGTTCAACTCTGTAGAAATAAATCCCTTTAAATTTAGAAATAAAGAAAAGGGCCAGAGAGGAAAAAGAACTTACCTTGGGGCCTGAAGGCTTAGTCACAGCTTTTCTCCTCCAGAGTAAGAAGGTCACTGTTCTATCCCAGGGTCTATTTACTTATCATGTAGTAAATATATATTTGAAAAAAAATAAATGAGTAAATGGTGGGGGAGGGGATAACCATGGCATCCATAGGGAAGCCTTGCTCACCTCTCCGGGTAAATCCTTTGGTTGTATATTCACTTTGGGGGATTATTTGATCGATTCTATCTCCCCCGGCTGAATGGGGAGATCCAGGGGAAGACATTTCTTTTACTGAGCCTGCCACAGGACCTGGTACACAGGAAACTCTCAATAACTAGCTATTCAACATAACATGAATGAATGTATGAATGAATAAATAAATGAGTGAATGAATCACCAGGCTATATAAACTAGCTTACCCCCTCTCTCCCTCACCTTGCTTTATTTTTCTTCTTAGCAGTTATCACCAATTGCCACATTGCATATTTGTTGATGCATTCATTATTCACATCCCCCCACTAGAATCTATTCTAGCATTAGATTTTAGAATATAGACTGGAAACTCACAAAAGCAAGGGCTATTTGAAATTGCAATCTATCTAGCCCTGGCCGGTTTGGCTCAGTTTTTAGAGCATCGGCCTGCGATCCAGAGAGACCCGGGTTTGGTTCCTGCTAAGGGCACATACCTTGGTTGTGGTTTGTCCCCAGTCCTGGTTGGGTCATGCGAGAGGCAGCCACTCAATGTGTCCTTTCACGTCGATGTTTCTCTCTCTCTCTTCCTCTCTCTCCTTCCTATTCTATCACTAAAATGGAAAAATGTCCTTGGATGAGGATAAAAAAATAAAATAAAATAAAATAAAATTACAATCTAGACTCCAGAATCTTGGTGAGTCCCAGTCTGCACCATACATGGAACTGCCACCGTGACCGCCTGTGCTGGTGCTAACCTGGCATGGCGAGAGCACGTGGAACCTGGAGAATTGCTTCAACGGCTGGTCCGATGCCGACCTGAGCCCAGCAGGGCACAAGGAGGTGAAGGGCAGTGGGTAGGCGCTGCAAGATGCTGGCTATGAGTTTGATATGTGCTTCACTTTAGTGCAGAAGAGAGCAATTTGGACCCTCTGGACAGTGCTGGATGCCATTGACCAAATGTGGCTGCCTGTAGTGAGGACTTGGCATCTCAGTGAACGGCACTGTGGGGGTCTGACTGGCCTTCATACAGCCAAAACTGCTGCTAAGCATGGTGAGGCCCAGGTAAAGATCTGGAGGCACTCCTATGATATACCACCACCACCACTGATGGAGCCCAACCATCCCTTCTGCAGTAACATCAGTAAGGATCACAGGTATGCAGACCTCACTGAAGATCAGCTACCCTTCTGTGAGAGTTTGAAGGACACTATTGCCATAGCTCTGCCCTTTTGGAATGAAGAAATAGTCCCCCAGATTAAGAAGGGGAAATGGGTATGGATCGAAGCCCATGGCGACAGCCTTGGGGGCATTGTCAAACATCCGGAGGGTCTTTCTGAAAAGGCTCTCATAGAGTTGAACCTGTCAACTGGTATTCCCATTGTCTATGAATTGGACAAGAATTTGAAGCCCATCAAGCCCATGCAGGTTCCGGGGGATGAAGAGACCTTTCATAAAGCCATGGAGGCTGTGGCTACCATGGGCAAGGCCAAGAAGTGAAGGTGAGCAGGCAGACTGCTTTCCCAAGGACACCCTCCCTGCCCTTCCCATTGCCCTGCATCTCCCCCCTGCATATGTCACACTGACCAAATCTGTAGGCATTGTAGGTTGTAGCTGCAGATGGGGACTGGTGGCTCCCAATTTTGTTTTAGCCATTTTGTCTCATGTACCCACTTCCTTCATGCAGTCTAGTCAGGACCCTGTGGCATGGGTCCTCAGTCCAAGGCTGAGGGAAGGCTCATCTAAGAGAGTCCAGAGGTAGTAACTCTGGCTTTTTTGTTGTTGTGGTTGTTGTTTGTTTTTTTATAGTGTTTTGTTTATTACTAAGAACCTGCTGGAGTAGGGGGATAGGGAGAAGCCATGCTAAGACATGACAAATGAGGAGAGGCAAGAGAGCTTTTTGGGTTCCCAGAAACAGTCCTGTGCTATTCTGTAGTCAGGTGACTGGGGGCTCTAGTCATTCCACTGAAGAGGAATGTGGTGATTCCTCCCTGAACCCAGAAAAGCTGGCTCCAAAAGATTGGGATCAGTCCTGAATGTTTATGTATTGCATTTACTTTTACCAAAAAAAAAAAAAAGTATATCTATATAAAATAATACAAAACAAAAAACCCTCTGGGGTTTCTAGTGGTGGGTGAACTATTCCCACATGTGGTCATCACAAAATAAGCCGTTCCTCACACCAGGTGGGACAAGCTCCTTTACTTGTAAGGTGTCGGCATTACCCGGCTGTGTGTTTCAGAATCCCTCCCCTGCCTTATCGTTTTATGGCAGTGAAATGTCTCTTGATCATGTCCAGATGTATCTTTCTCTGTGTCTGAGTTCTGAATCCTGTTCCAGTTGCTTGGCCCTGCCACTTGAGCCCAGTATGCATTTGAACATAACTACTCAATCTTTTTTCCAGATCAGTGTAATAAAGGAGTCATGTGCAACTAAATAAATAAATAATGAAATTGCAATCGGATCCCAGTCCCCGCCTCTATCTCTCTGCTTTGCTTTATTACCCCCGCCCCCCAAACGCTTATTGCCCTCTGAGATGTTCTTTGACTCTGTTTTGGGTCTGTCTCCAGCCCGCTCCACCAGAGCCTAGCGTTTGTGTTTGGTTCACGGCTGTATCTCAGAGGCTTATCCTAGTGTCTTGCACACAGTAGGCACTCAATGCATGTTGCTGACAGAACTAAGGAAGGCGAGGTTCTCAGGAAGGCAGCGGAGATAGCCCAGGTGGAAAGGTTAGGATGGTCAGGCTCCTACTTGCCCAAACCTCCAGGTCGCCCCCAACCCCACCAGCAGGATGGCCCGGGCAAGCAGGAGTTAAGCGGCGCTCACGCTTGCTACCCGCAGGTGGCGCAGTCCCGCCTCGGTGCCGGACTCTGAGCGCTCTGAAGTGCGGGACAGAATCGCAGCGAGCGCGGAGCCGAAGCTCAGCCCCGACTTGTTGATCTCTCCCAAGCAGCCGCCACTGCTGTCGCTGCCGCCGCCTCCGCTGGAACAGAAGGAGGAGGAGGTGGAGCAGGAGGCGCCGCCCGAACGCTGTCCTGCCACCCGTGCCTGCGGCGCCCGCCTGCGCCCCCAGCCTCGGAGAGCGCACCCAGATTCACAGCGCCTGCAACCTCGGCGCGTCGCCTGCCCGGCCGGCGTAGGCCGGGCCCAGCCCGGCCCCGGTCCGCCGCTGCCCGCGGGCCGGGGCGTCCGGGCGGCCGGGGCGATGTGTGGTCCCTGGCCCCGGGAGGCGGCCGCCCTGGGGGTGAGTGTTGGGGCGGGCGGCCCTCTGTGACAGTGCCGGGGGACACTAGTCGGGGACTCGGCTGCCTCGGCTCGGCCTGTTGGTCTACCTAGGCTCCGCGGCTCCAGGCTAGTGTTGCGAGGAGGGGTGGGGGTGGCGGACAAGGGCTGGGGCCTGGGGAGACACACGTTCTCATTCGGGGTGAGAGGAGAGGGCGTGAGCCTCACTGCCCGGGGCTCAGAGGAGACCCCGAAATCACCAGCGCACGGCAGGAGAAGGGACGTTTTAAAAAGGCCAGAAAATTCAGCTCTTTTCCCCGCCTCCCACCTTCCCCACCCTTTCCCTTCTAAGCCCCGGGAAAGGCGCAGAACCCAGAGTTATAAAAAGCCATCGCAGGAGAGGAGCGACGAGGAGGAGGTGGAGGAGGAGGAGGAGGAGGAGGAGGAGGTGGAGGAGGAGGAGGAGGAGTTGTTGTTGGAGAAGGGGGAGAAGGGGGCGGGGAAGCAGCGAGGGAAGACGGAGCAGGTGGATTCCCAGGACTCTGCACACCCCTCCTGCGGTGGGTTAGGGGGTACAGAGGGAAGGGTGGGAACCTGCGCAGAGCTTGGCTTTGCGTTTTCAGGGCTCATCTCGTCGCCAGAGCGACCTCGAGAAATGCTCCTGTGGTTTGGGAAGAGGGGCTGCTCCAGGACAGTGATGCTGTCGTGACCACCCTGTCTGTTATGACCGCACCTGAAACCTCCCAAAATTCCCCCAAATCTTTTAAGGTTTAGAAAAAGCAAACCTGCTGCCATCCCCCTAGCCCTCAAATCTTAATAATTTCGGAACTGGGGAAGGAAAAGATGAGAAGTATTTTTAAAACAAAGTTTTTAATGCAGCTCACCTCTCCCCACCTCGGGGCCGGATCGGGACTCGGTGGGGATACCCAGAGAAAAGCGAGTTTCAGCACTCGAAGGGGCGGACAGCGCCCCGGGCGGCTGGGTTGGGCCTGGGCTGCAGAGACACTGTTGGGGCCTCCAGGGTCCCTGGGGCACCTCTTGAGGGCCCTCTCCCAGCTCCAGCTCCGAAGGGCCGCCCCTCCCTTCGTGGGGTGGGGAGGACTTCAGCACCGGCGGGAGGGACAGCACCCAGCCTTTCTACCCTCCCTGAGCCGCTTAAGTGCTGGGAAGGTCAAAGCCGCCTGGGCTGGGGTCTGGCTGGACAGGTGGGGAGGGGCCACGCCCATCTCCCTGTTTGCTGACCTGCGTCTGCTTTCTGCCTCACAGCCGTCGGGATGGAGGTGAGAAGACGGCCGTGACGCGCGCCAGCGCGGTCCCCTGCACACCCAACAGCCCACAGCGCTCCCTGCCCCCCTCCTCCGCGGCGGCTGGCCCTGCCGTCCAGTGACAGCGGCCTGGGGGGGCAGGGGGGGCGGGGGCGGCCGGACCAGCGATGCCGGCGGGCATGACAAAGCATGGCTCCCGCTCCACCAGCTCGCTGCCGCCCGAGCCCATGGAGATCGTGCGCAGCAAGGCGTGCTCGCGGCGAGTCCGCCTTAATGTTGGGGGCCTGGCGCACGAGGTGCTGTGGCGCACGCTGGACCGCCTGCCCCGCACGCGGCTGGGCAAGCTCCGCGACTGCAATACGCATGACTCGCTGCTTGAGGTGTGCGACGACTACAGCCTCGAGGACAATGAGTACTTCTTCGACCGCCACCCGGGCGCCTTCACCTCCATCCTCAACTTCTACCGTACTGGGCGGCTGCACATGATGGAGGAGATGTGTGCACTCAGCTTCAGCCAAGAACTTGACTACTGGGGCATCGATGAAATCTACCTGGAGTCCTGCTGCCAGGCCCGCTACCACCAGAAGAAGGAGCAGATGAACGAGGAGCTCAAGCGTGAGGCCGAGACCCTACGCGAGCGGGAGGGCGAGGAGTTCGATAACACGTGCTGCGCGGAGAAGAGGAAAAAGCTCTGGGACCTACTGGAGAAGCCCAATTCCTCTGTGGCTGCCAAGGTGAGCATGGGATCTGGGGGCTGCTGGGCTGGGGGACGCTGCCTGTGTCTCCAGATTGATGACCACGGCTGGGGAACTCTGGCTGAGTTCCCAATATAAAGACCAGAAAGGGGGAGGGGCTATAGCTGAAACCTTGGAAGTGAGCGCCAGCCTCTTCAGACTGTTACTATGTGGTATTGATCACCCCATCCTTTCATTATTCACTATTTTATACCCCAGCTTTGTTGGAGAAAAGGATTTATAGAGACTCATAAAACCCCACAGCAAGAGGATGGACACTGCAAATGAGCAAGAGAGCAGAGAGAAGCAACTAAGCCTTGCTGGGATGGAGTGGATTTGAGTTTGGTCCATTCTCCATAATGCTCCCTTGTGAAGTCCCAGGCTCAGGCTGGAGGGGGTGTCGCCCTGCAATTTTAATATTTACCCCTATATTTACCACCCCACTTTGCCCCCAAGGAGGGAATGAAAGCAGCTTATAAACTTGCTTGGAGGACATTGAGATACTGTCAGGCAGTTTTAACACAAGTAAGAAAAATGAGGCAGAGACTCTGAGGGGTGGGGGTGTGCATGCATGACGCATGCAGCTGGCTGTGGATGCTTGTGGGCGAAGGGTCACCCCTGGTTTGTTCTTTATTTATGTGATTTGATGCAGCTTGTAAAGATGCTTTAGCTGTTGGAAGAGGATGTAAATTTCAAAATCGGAGAGAAAAATGAGGCAATGTGAAAAATAAAGCAGAAGGAGGCAGGGATGCGTTTGATTACAGCCAGTGGGCCAGGGAGTTCTGTGTGCTGCCAGGCAAAGGCAGAGGGTGCAAGGGACTGAGAGAGGCTTTGGGTGGGGGCCAGGCTAGGACAGAAGAAACTTCTCTGTGTCAGGCTGGGATTTAGGGCTGTCTTGGAGAGATAGTGGCCTGTCTTCATGTGGTCAATGTGCTGGGTGTCAGAATAAATGACAACTCAGTATGTTCAGTGCTATAAAGAAGTTCATTGGGGGCCCAGAGGGCGTTGATGTTGAAATCCAGGAAGACCAAGCTGGGAAAGACAAATGGAACCTAACTTACCCTCTGAGAGCAGGACCAAAAATCAGGTGGAGGAGATAGGTCAATGTATTCATAGAAAAATGCGGAAAAAAAGGAGGAAGTCTACATGCCAGCCATGATGTACTAGCTAGGGATGCCTTCATCTACCCTGACCTCTCATTGTGGGATCCCCCTGGCTCCGTTAGCTCCTCACTGAAGGCTCATCTGCAGGGTCAAGTCTAAAGGAGACCCTGTGGGGTCCTTTCCTCAGATCTAACTGCCCAAGGGGAGGCCTCTGAGAAGGGATGCAGGAGGGGTGGCTGGTAGGAGTGTGGAGGGAAGCCTGCAGGTTTTCCCTCTTCCCTGTCAACCCTAAAGAGGACAGAGAGATTCCTATGCTGGATTTCCTCTTCTGAGGCTGTGGGCTGCCTCTGGTTATAATCCTGCCCCAGGTTTCGTGTCCAAAAAGCCTCCCTCTTAAGACAGAGTCCACTCACCCTTAACCGGCTTAGGATCAACAGACTTATTTTGCTATTTCCAGGCCTGACACGGGTTTCTGCCCTCCACATCCTGTTTAGGTCCAAACAGGACTCTCCCTCCTCCCTGCCCTGTCCCTAAGACATAGGAATGAGGGGCAGGTCAGGGGAGGGTCACCCTCCCAGAGAAGAAGCAGGCAAAGGGCAGAGATGAGGCCGGCTTCTGGCAGCAAGGCAGGGAAGCTCAGGCTTGCAGAAGACACTGCTTGGGAATAAACAGCCTCGTCTCTCCGTCGGGTTAATCTGCTTGCAGGGACAGTTTTGTGACCTCTCAGTGATCCCAGGCTCGGCCCAGCATGCATTCCTGGCAGATGGGCGGCCAGAGCTGAAATGGGAAGCCAGGCAAGCTTATTGGCTCTCAGTACAGAAATCCCAACTGCCGTTGATCAAACACTTTATAAAAAAGTGCAACAACACAATTAGTCCTTATACCAATTCTCTGTCATTATCCCACCTTTCTCAAATAGGGAGGCTCAGAGAGGTTAAGTAAGTTGCCTAAGGTCACACAGCAGGCCACACAGGAGCAGCCAGAAATTCAAACTCAAGTGTGATTGTAATGACCCTGTTCTTTCCACGGTGAATAAGTGCCATAGTCTCCTCCCCAGTCTGCCTGCTTCCACGCTTGCCCCTTGCAATCCACTGCCCGCACAGCAGCCAGAGTGAGCTTTTCAAAATGTAAATTGGATCACATTATTCATCTGCTCAAAATCCTCCAGAGGTTTCCCATCACACTCAGAATAAAACCCAAACCTTCACTGTGGCATACCAGACCCTATGAATGCAGGCCCATGACCTCTCTGAGCTTATTTCTTCTACTGTCCTCTAGTTCACTCGCTCCAGCGCCCCTGGAATCCTTGCTGTTCCCCAAACAGGTCAGGCTTTATCGTACCTCAGGACCTTTGCTCTTGCTGTTCCTCCTGCCTAGAAGGCTTTCTCAGATTGTCTCATGGCCAGCCACTTCTCCTCATTTCTCATTTAAGCAGGCCCCTGCCCAAAAGTCCCCTCCTCAACGAGACTTTTCCTGAGCCCTGTCTAAAATAGCCTCCTTCCCCTCAGTCTCTGTCATGTCATGCAGTGTCTTTCCTGCACAGGCTGTAAGCACCATCTGAAATGATATCTGCTTCCTTTTGTTTCTCTGTTTCTCCCACACAAGAGTGTAAGCGCCGTGAGTTGTATTTACTGCTCTGTTCCCAGACCCATCATGGTGCTTGGCGCAGAGGAACTCAAATCACTAAATGTAGAATAAATGAATGAATCAATCATCAGTCACTGTGCCTCAGGGTTTGGGGACCTGTCATTCTTTCCTCACTGCCCACCTGCAACCCAGTTCCCTGTGCTCACCTGCCACCCCCCACACCCATCCCCCCAATATGGACGTCTTGCTTGTCAGACAGCGAGGCCTGTGGAAACTTCTCAGAGGCCACAGAAGGAGAGGGTGAAATGGAGGACCGTTCCTGCATTACTGTGAGGTCCCGAAATGGCCCCATCTCATACTTTAAGAGCAAGGTCAGACCCAGGGTCCAGGCCCATCTCCAGCACCCTCCCTAGTTTCTGGCCTTAGGCAAGTTCTTCAACCCTCCAAGCCCCAGTCTCCAGCCTGTAAAATGGAGATAAAAGGCCCGCCTCGCAGGGTCATCATAAAATCATGTTTGTCGAACTTTCTCTCAGTACCCAGCACGCAGGAGGCAGGGCCTTTCCCGATGGCTGGGTGGGCTGAACTGCGGCAAACCCTCCTAGCACAGCACTGGAAGGCTGAGCTGACGCCGTGAATAATTGATGGGATGTTCTGGCAAGGCAGCGACAAACCAAAGCACAGGCCCTAGCCTTCGCTGTCAGGGGAGTGAAAATCAAAATCCATTAGGCAAAAGGCAGTGTGATTGATTCTTGTTTGGAACTGGGGTCAGCCCCAACAGAGTGACAGGGTTTCGGTGTTGGGCCACCACTGGGTTTCCGCTTTCTCGGAAAACTCCACAGGCTTTTCTCAGTGGGAGAGAGTGGGGACTAATTCACCAGGCGAGGAGGGCCTGTTCCCTGGAACAGTCTCAGGGTTCAGGCCCTAAGATAATTCCTTAATTTCCAGAGTAGCTGCTGCGTTTTGTGCCAGGTGCTGATGAGTGGAACTTTACATCCACTGTCTCATTGGATCCCTTCAGCAATCCAGATCGTCTGCCCGTTTGGGCCGCAAGTAACAGAATAGAAAACTCCAAGTGGCTTCTATAAGGAGGGAGATGTGTCATCTCACGTAACGGGAAGTTCCAGGGTAGCTGGTGCCCTAAGGATTCTTTTCATCTTTTGGCTCCTCCATCTCCAGCAGGCGGCTTGGTCCTCAGTCTGGATGCCTCATATCACAAAATGGCTGCCCAGTTTCAGCCTTCACATGCTATCTAAACAGTGAAGTGGGGCATTTCATCCTATGTACCACATTTTTTCCTGAAAGAGAAACCCTTCCCAAGAGCCCCCTTAAATCTCATTGGCCAGGTCCAGCCGGTGTGGCTCAGCGGCTGAGCATCGACCCATGCACCAAGAGGTCACCAGTTCAATTTCCGGTCAGGGCACATGCCCAGGTTGTGGGCCTGATCCCCATTTGGGGACGTGCAGGAGGCAGCCAATCGATGTTCTCTCTCATTGATGTTTCTATCTCTATCTCCTTCTCACTTCCTCTGTCTCTAAAATCAATAAAGGGAAAAAAAATCCCATTGGCCAGGATCAGATCACATGCTCATGCTATAGCCACAAAGAAGCCTGGGAAAGCAAGTGTCTGGCATTTTCAGATGAAGGAGAGAATGGATTTGATGAGTGGTGTTAAGACTCTTACAAAGAGGAAATCCGAGGGGGCGCTGAGAGGTGAAGTCACTTGTCAGAGCTCACACAGCTAAATTCTCAGTAAATATTTGTTGAAGGAATGAAAGTGGCAGAGCCAGAGTTTGAACCCAGGGTGGTCAGGTTCCCAGGCCAGTGTTTCTTAATCCTAAACCATTCAAGCTTTCTTGAGCTTCAGTGAGCTCATCTGCTGAATGGTGGCCCACTTCTCCAGGCTATTTTGATGATTCATTGAGATTCCAGATGTAAATAGAATTTGCAAATGGGAAGTACTTTATTATTGTGAATTATTGTTATTATTATATTCCAAAGAGGGAGTATTCTTTTTTAGGGACAGTGGTCAGTATTTTGCCTGCCACAGACTTAATGATCAACTCTATAGTCCAAGAGATGTGGTTCATTTCTCAGCTCCATCCTACCAGGAATATGACCTTGGGCAAATTCCTTTCCTCCTCTGAGTCTCAGTTTCCTCATCTAGGAAATGGAGCTCACCATGTGGGACCATTAAGAGATAATCTGCATAAAGATCTTAGCCCAGTGCCCAGCCCTCTGGTTAGCAGTCAATAAATGACAACGGAGATCATTAGTGTCATCACTGAATTCCGCTATTCTGGCTACATCCCTG